CTTTACTGACTATTTAGCCAATATGTCACATGCGATGTGGAATTCCAGTGTCCTCAGTTATGTACACTCGATCAAATAGAACATAAGAGCTAGCAGACTTCATGCGTAGATATGCTAAAAAGCATGTATGTAAGTTATCCATTGGCATTAGTACAAAATTCACTCCTAGTTTGAGTTCGGTTGAGTTGCATATATATGATCAGATGTTTGATAGGCATTTAGAAGTTGGCAGGGTAATACAAGGCACTTGATATGGCTGTGCAACTTCTTTATGATTTACACACGACGTTTCTGGGCTAATACTTGCCCCTTCATCAGGTGAATGACAGTCAACAGTTACAGAGGTATATACATGTATAGGAAACCACAGAGTTGTTTTTACAAGGGTATGTATAGTATTTACATGAAGCATATATATGTTCAAGATATTTTTATGGATTAAACTTCTTTATAATTTCTCTCACGACGTTTCGAGACCATTCCAGGTCCCTTCATCAGGTGAACTGGCAGTTAGGACTATGACGTCGTCACTATGACGTCATACTGAGTTATGACGTCACAATGCAAGTGACATCACAGTACACTAGGGAGAGTACTGTATAAGTGAGTTTGAAGAGTTAATTACATAATGATGAAAATTCATGCTAAATAATAGAGTTGCAAGTTGAATTGTCAATACACAACAACAAGTAACCTTTGTGTAATTAGCAGTTGTTGTGTATTGACAATTCCACTGTTTTTAAAAGCGTTGATACTCAGGAATCAGACCAGAAAATTCCCAAATTGTCACACATACTACTTTCTATCAGTAGTAGGATGTTAAGAAGATATTGGGAACACTTTGCGATCGGCAGTGGAATATGACAATAGATGTTGTCACGATCTTGAGGAACGAAAAGGGCAGGATAGGACATTTCAAAAATGTTGAATCAGCACAGTGTAATACCGCTTTGATTTGTCAAACATATGTCACTCGACGAGCGATTTGAGGGAGTCTGTCCAACGCCTCTTGCAGCGCCTGGCCATATTCAGCCAACATGCTCGGTGGAACTATGATGCTGACACGTTGACATTGGACGTGTTCAATGGACGTAGGAAGGCTTTGCTCCTACGTGGACAATTCAGTCTGTGCATGTGGTATCGCTGGAGGCTGGCATTGACGGTTCGTGCTGAAAGACACACGTTCTTACAACTTAAAGAACCCCTCTCCAAAGATATTTACAATTAAAAAATTCTTCACAACCAATTACAGGAAACAGACACACGTTCTTACAACTTAAAGAACCCCTCTCCAAAGATATTTACAATTAAAAAATTCTTCACAACCAATTACAGGAAACAGACACAGAGATAGTTCAGGGGAAATATTATCGTGCAAAAGGTGTATAAAAAGAAAACAACTGGAATCGTTTTGATATTTTTATATACTGATGTACATCTTTTAATATAATTTCAGTGCTCTGAGTGACCTTTCCTTGCACAATATGGTGTGAGGGTCACTCAGTCATATATGATTCCCCAGCTCAACAACCAACTGACCACTAAAATGTGTCACGATGCCGCTGTGGACAATAACCTAAAGTTCATTTCGACGTTGCCAGACGCTATTACGTCTATCTAGGAAGTGCAAAGTGAAACATGTCACATGACAAGCGTCTATTGCCTCACGTACCACGTTGAATACATCAATGACGTAATGTTCCCAGTATGAAGAGATGTACAACGGGTGGTACAACACGTGGGCGTCAAATATGGAGATTAGCTACATGTTGAAGATTTCTAATCGTCTATTTCTTAACGCACACGCCTGGAACCTCATGAAATAAGGGACCATTCATAATTTATGGCTAGGGGGGTGATGATGATTTTAAGGGGGGTCACCCATTTTGTTCTGGGAAGATACACACGTTCTAGGGGGGGATCAGCTATTTTGTACACTAAAATATTAAAAAAATTATGCTTAAAAATTATGGGAAGTGGGGGGTCATTGATTTTGTACATGACACGCCAGGGGGGTCCCTTACTTTGTAAATCTTAGGGGTGTTCATTCATATTGTACATGCTTCTCCATTAAATCATCATCTGCCCCCCTAGCAATAAATTATGAACGGTCCCTAATGTAGCAGTTTGATTCACAGTTCGAGCTCGATATCGTAGAACCTGCTTTTCGATCAATCGCTCCGTTGACCTCGGACGCCCTGAATGGGGTCGATGGTCAACATTTGGGTTTATTATTGGCTGTTTCATGGTCTGCTAGTCTGAAGCCATTGGCAGCTGCACCCTGACGTCTGTACGCTTCATTCATACTATCTTCCGGAGACGCTCCAAGTGTTGCAGACTCCACGAGTTCATACAAAAACAATGAATGCATGAAGTTAATCACAACTCTATTATAAACAGAATTAATAAGATTGACCCCGAAATATTGAGTCCCAAGAGATAAAAGCGTCTGCTTGCCAAGATGAAGTCCCGAGTTCGATTTCCCACATGGGTACAATGTGTGAAGCCAATTTCTGGTGTCCCCGCCATAGTATTGCTGGCATATTGCTAAAAGCTGCGTAAAGCCATACTCACTCACTCACTCACTATGGCTAGTTCTGATAGACATGCATGATGTTATATTATATAATGTCAGCATGCATGACTATCCCGTCCACATCTGTTCCGACGATGTTTTTCGGTGCTGAGGAACAGCACCAAAAGAGATAAATGGACCTTAAGTGTGAAAATGAAGAATGGCACCGTACGCATGTGTGTGGGTTTATACGAACAGCACGTGCAAACTAACTCTTGTGTTTTGGTGTTCTGTTTTACAGACTTCTTGCACAGGATATTTGTCGACAGAACTTATTTTTGTTTTCTGGTTTTAACATTTATGTTTCATGATCCCTCCTCCTTTAAGATCATATATATACATAGCCTACATTAATCATTCTGGTATACCAACAGTGACCAAATCTCATATTGCATGATTATTCAGTCTGTTATAACTGTCATTGTCGAAGAAGTATTCAGTTTTGCATTAACAATCATTAAAAAGTATATATACTCATATTTATCATATAAGCTTGTGAATGAAATATGATATGGTTTTAATCTAACCTGCACCTGGTAACATGAATTGATTACAAGTACATGCACACAAAAACATGCCATAAAATATATTTTGTAAGTTACGTCTGCTCATAGTTGTGGTTTGGATGGCGTAAATCCTCCTGGGAGTGAGTGAGTGAGTTTAGTTTTACACCGCTTTTAGCAATATTCCAGCAATATCACAGCGGGAGACACCAGAAATGGGCTTCACACATTGTACCCGTGTGGGAAATCGAACCCAGGTCCTCGGCGTGACGAGCGAACGCTTTCACCACTAGGCTGCCCCACCGCCCCAAATCCTCCTGGGAATCATGTAGGAAGCAGAAACTCCGTAAGTCCACTTGATGCCCAGGAAGGTGGTCTAACTTTGGGCGCTAGTGCTGTATAGCCTAGGTTTTGCTAGATGATTTTGATATATTGAATTGGTTTGTTTTATATTTAAATTATGTTTGGGTTGTTTTTATTATATATTTAAACTGTGATACTGACCTTACTGTGTTACTGTCCTTTGTCGACAGACTTTTAAATATACTCAACTTTGCGATATGGCTGCAATTTGCCGATGCCATGTAAAATTGCAACTCTTCTATCACCCATAGATGTCGTTTCAATGATGTGAAAGGAAAAACATTCCAATAATACGAGATAACAACAGATTGGAGATTGGATCCATGGAAACATCGCCCTGGAGTAATGAGGTTATGTCAAAATATCAGAAATCACGAACCAACTAAAGTGTATCGTAGTTATCAGGCACTGGTCGTATTCCATATCCTTCAACATTGATAGAAATAGAAACTGTCCATTTACCGTTGTGTTAATGAAATGTGATGATTACTTTTTACAGAACGCAGCTGTTAACTACTGTTAATGAAGACATGCAGGTTGATACCTCATTTGTTCTGAAATACGATGTTCACACAGGTCATCTCATCACGACATGTCCATTAATGTCCACTTGAGGCCGGTGTCATATACTTGTTACTGACAGCTTAGTCCATACTCATAAAACACTCACGCTCCTGAACCAATAAGAACGTCACTTTAACACATCTGTCTGGTAAATTACCAGAACCAACACGTCAGTGAAAAGACACATACGTCAGAAGGTGTGGTATCATTAACGGTGACTTATATGGATTTGGTGTCATATGGACTTAGGTCATTGTACACAGCTATATGTCTGACTGTTACGTATCCACAGATCTGGCTTGCGCATTGCGAATCATTGCTCACTGGCGCCTTTTGCCGTTATGATTTGTTTCTGAATTATGTTTGTTTCCATGAAAACAATTTCGACTTAGTCTCAAATAGCTACTGGTTTCGTATGCGAACTCTTATACTAACGAATACATTTGAAAGACACTATTCAAAGCTCATGATCAACTTTATCCTGTGAGATATCTATTTGTTTCAATTTGCTGTGTATCCATGGAAACGTTTCGGAATTTTTACAAAGCGATTTAGTGTTCGTGAAGGGTCCACCTACTTGCACAATGCAGTGTATCATCCAAACTGGAGTTCAAAGTGTTATCTAATATTAACAGTCAACATGGCATTAGCTGTAATGCTGCCTTCATGTTTTCAGAATATGTACCAGCATTGTATTTTCATTTCTTTTTTGCTATTATGTAGTATACATATTGATTTGTATACGGATTTATTGTAACGATCTGAACTAAAGTCTCAAAATACGAATGGAGAAGTGTCTGTTTTGATGAAAGAAGACACATTGTAGTACGTTTGTTCAGGACAAGTCATTTGTTTCATTTCACGTTTGCACGTTTATACACATTGCTTTGTTACAAAAGACATTATTTCAGATTTCATACAGTATAATTCGCAAAGAGAATGTGCTATAGTTTTATTTGATTGAATTCTTTATCACAATGTTTTGTATTTTTCAGGTAAAGATGGCGTAGATATACCTGCTTCACCCAAGTGAATTTGTGATTGTTGGGTCCAAGACATCTCTTTATTCGTGCAGGGGAATTCCAGAGATAGTCATGGAGATTAATACAACGGTATTCATTGATGACATTACCACATCAAGTACAACACAAAATGTTCTCTATTCAAACATCACATCCAGCTTCAACAACAGCAACTCAGTTGAAGTGGCTTACGATGCAGATTCTTTTGACGCTTTTGACTACCCATTAGGGTTTAAAAACGTGCCTAGTTGGGAGATAGCCCTAAAGACTCTCACGTACATCCCCGTCATTGCGTTCGCCATCGTCGGTAACGTCCTTATCATCCTTGTCGTCGCACGCAACAAGCGGATGCAAACGACGACAAACTACTACATCGTCAATTTGGCCGCTGCGGATCTTTTAGTTGCCGTGTCGTGTTCTTGGGTACATCTCGTTACTGACCTCACGGATGGATGGGTCTTAGGGTCATTCTTCTGTAAATTCAACACGTTTGCACAAGGTAAGGATTTAGTCCACATAACTTCTTTCTTGTTGACTTTAGCTTGGTTTGGTTCCTTTGTATGGCAAGCAGTTATAATTGATCTTCAGTAACCCATGCTTGTCGTAAGAGGCGACTAACTTGGTTGACAAATGTTATAGTATCCCAGTAGATCGATGATCATGCTGTTGATCACTGGATTGATTGGTCCAGACGGCGACGGTTATTTACAGACCGCCGCCATACAGCTGCGATATTGCTCAGGGCGGATTCAAACAACAAACCAAACCAAAACTAAACTCACTCAATCACATTTATTTCCTTGTCCTCGATATCTTTCTTTTCGTGATACCTGTAATGTTTTATGATGAAACCATAATGGGAATTGATCATGAAGCGTAATAATTAATGAAAATATTATTCTCTGTGGACTCAATTTGATTAACGTGATATCATCAGTTGATTTAGTGTCGATATTTCTTTTCACATTTAATCAAAGTGTTCATGATGCGCTCATGTTTTTTATCATCACTACATGTATATGATTTGAACAAGAATCGTTCATGAATTTTATTTAGGCGAGTGGTTAACTTTCCAGTCTACAGTGAGTCAGTGAGTTGTACGCCGCTTTTAGCAATAGTCAAGCAATATCACGGCGCGGAACACCAGAAATTGGCTTCACACATTGTACCAATGTGGGGAATCGAGCCTGACGAGCGAACGCTTTAACCACTAGGCTACCCCACCGCCTCTTCCAGTCTACAAACTCGTCTTAGATCCATCAGCATATTCACGCCGTGTGCTATCCAGCAATGACATACTAAATTAGGATGATTAACGAGTTCGAGTACTGCACATCTGTTTTAGATGTCTTTTGTTAAACATCACGCCAATATCAACAGGGAATGGGTTCGCAAATTGCAAATGCTTTATGAAAAATATGTTTCAAGCAAAATATTTGTTTTGACTGACTGACTGCTTGAGTTAGGCTTTACGCCGCTTTTAGCAATATTCCAGCAACATCACGGCAGGGACACCAGAAATGGGCTTCACACGTTGTACCCATGTGGGGAATCGAACACAGGTCTTCAGCGTGACGAGCGGACACTTTTACCATTAGCCTACTCCACCGCCCCAGAACTAGCCATAGGGGTCTTCGGCGTGACGAGCCAACGTTTTATCCACTAGACTACCCCACCGCCACTTATTTGTTTTGAAGATATTAGAACAGTTAACCTTGTTGCAAAAGAATAAGTGACCTCGGGAAAGCACCATGACAACCCCATAGGCTGTTCCGCCGACTTATACCTGTACTTTGGCTCAAGTGTATGTGAATTCCTAGAGAGCATTATTTGTGATTCTCTTTATCTATGTAAGCATGTACTCGTCTACTTAATTGTAAATATGTTGTTTGTATATATCTCGCAGTTTCAAAAGGCGATCACACAGATATAAATGCCCCTAAAATAATATTTCCTGTTACAAAATACTCATGTGGTCCATACGATGTCCTGATTCGCCGCTGTGGAGTTAAAATACGAGGAATTTCGTTTTCTGTTGTTATCGCCCATTCTACAGCGTGCCTATCACATTACGGACGTCTAAAGCTAAACAGTGCATCCCCAATGGAAAAAAAATATAGATTCCTGCATGAAAATAGCTCCATTAGGCCTACTGTCTATTTGACCATAGTCGAACTTGATTGACTGCCTAAACCACTACAATTTACGTGCGCGTTCGTGTCAATGCCAGACGAAACACCTCGCAATTTGGTGTATTTTTCTGCGGAGCTGCTACCCAGGTCCTGCTATTTTAGTGGCTGACTTGAGAAGCGCTTACACGAACAGGAAATTACTGAAGTCCCCGGAATTAAATCATTATTCATTGATGGTAATGATCCATCAATAAAAATACTTGCACTTCACGAATCAATCAAAGGACTTCATCAACGATGCCTTTGTTCCTCGATGACACTAAAGAACAACAAAGGGATTGACATGAATTTATGCACGAAAATTGCTACTCTTGTTAGATAACAAGACGCTTTGGTCGTTAGGATATAGAATAAATCCGATAGCTTTTATATCATTTCATTAGCAGTACAAATTTCCGTTGCGTTTCTGCATGAAACACTTTATCAGTTTACGGTAATGAAAGGGACATCAATTGAGCAAGATCCGTGTTTGCCTTATTACTTGCGTGACCCCCAAAACTTTTATAATTGGCAACTTATGTTATTGAGGACGATAAGTATGCCAGGTGAAGGGTGGCAAAGTATTTTGCAGTGCAGATTTGCATTCCATGGGCGTGAAGTGATCTTGACCCAGATTCCAGGAATCGCTCTGATTGACCCCTTTTAGATGAAAACATACCGATCTTGTATGTATTACCAAAGCAGTTAATATCTGTGGCGTTCATAATTGTGAGCCTCCCTGCCACATGATGTTATGTGAGTGAAGTACTGTTCAAGGCGATCTAAAAGCCAGCTCACTCACTCTCCTCCGATGCCAGAAATGAAACCATCTTAATTGCAATACGGAAAGACGGCCATCGATTTCTAGAAATCATCGGAAGATAGTAAGACTTTGTTAAAGTAAAGGACGAAATGTTTATTTTCTACAACCTTGAGTGAGTTTGGCTTGTCTCTACTTGAAACAATGTTTAAGTTATATCACGGCTTGAAGTTATTCGAATTGATGTATGTCTTGGGTGCAAAGTGACTCAAGCAGACAATCATGACTTGTCGAAGTAAAATATATATTACGAATTCGACGTCGGCACATGTAAGATTTGAAGCTGATCAGACAAGTGTGCAAATCTTTCCATATTCATAATAAATCTTTGATTTGGTGGGGTAGTCTAGTGGTTAAAGCTTTCGTTTGCCACGCCGAAGACCTGGGTTCGATTCACCACGTGGGTGTGATGTGTGAAGTCGATTTCTTGTGTCCCCCGTTAGCAGCGTTATATGGCTGGAATATTGTTAGAACCATACTCACTCACTCTTTGATGACAGCACAAGCGTTAGTGTTCATGCAACCGGTATAACGAACTGGATTGGAATGATCTTTGACCTTGGTCTACAAATGATAATACACTGGTACTGGGGATTGTTACATGGGGATTATATTGGCAGGACGTAGGTAGGTCACACCAACTGCTTTACCTCGATATATCCGTGAAGATCCGGGTTAGAATTGATCTTCAGTGACCCATGCTTGTCGTAAGAGGCGACTAACGGGATCGGGTGGTCAGGCTCGCTGACTTGGTGGACACATGACATCGTATCCAAATTGCTCATGTTGTTAATCACTGGATTGTCTGGTCCAGACTCACTTACAGACCGCCGCCGTATAGCTGGAATATTGCTGAGTGCGGCGTTAAACAACAAACCAACTTTACCTCGAGAACTGGGTTATTATGTAGAACCGTTTTCATATTCATTACCGATGTACTAATATCACCCTTTCTTGATAATGGTTCGAATTAAGAAGGACGTTTTGTCGATGGGATAAACTAATCCCCGTATCATGATATGATAAAAATGAACTGAAACAATTAAGCAGGAACGTTTAAAACGTTTTAACGGTTATTATCTAATATCTATGACATGCATAATTGTGAGCTTCCCTGCCACATGCTGTTTTGTGATTGACATTCTGTTCAAGGTGACCTAAAAGCCAGCTCATTCACTCTCTTCCGATGTCAGAAATGAAGCCATCTTAATTGCAATTATATGTTTAGAATGGACAAAACCATTTCCTCATCCATAAGAAATCACTACTAAAAGCAGAGTCGATTGAACAATTGTGAATATATCATGAGTAGATATTTACAGCTGTACGATGTTGCTCGTAAACAAATCGAGTCTGGACCATACAATCCAGTGATTGTCACCAAGCGATAATGCACCAATGCAATGTCTAGTTTCCTAATGAACTGATGCCAGTACATTCCAAAATCATTTTGTGGTAGAATTTTAAAATGTTTCTGTTCATACGCTTGACTTCAAATCAACTGGTCGGCTCATTTTAGCATTTGTTCATATGCGGTTTCGTAAAGTTACATTTGAGTTTTATTTATTGACCATTCTACCCCTATTCAATAGAATGTTTTATTCTGATTAAAGGCAATTAAAGGCATCGATCTGCTGGTATACTCTACGCATTGATGTCTATGTTAAGTATATTGTTGGTTGGTTTGTTGTTTAACGCCGCACTCAGCAATATTCAAGCTATATTGCGGCGGTCTGTAAATAATCGAGTCTGGACCAGACAATCCATTGATCAACAGCATGAGCATCGATCTACGCAATTTGTTAAGCATAAGATTGACCTAGAACTGTGTGTGTTCGACACTGGAACAGTATCAGGTGTCTTTGTAACTGTGTTGCACTTCACACAGTCAGCTGGATACAACAGCTGGTCACACTTTCTGAAACCTATTTCAGAAAACATAAAATTAAGTAAAGCATACAGTAACTATTGTCTCACGAAAAATCATCAGTCTCTTAAAGGCTTTACATTGTTATTCCGTTGTTAATGGATATATTTGTAATGGTTGTGTCAGCAGGCAAATCTCTACCAGTAAATCATCGGATTACTGATCAACATAACCTCATTATCCATGCACTCACCATGAACAATATTTTGGTAGCCCTGGATAGCAAAGCGTAAAGGAAGTTCAGTCGGGTCAGGTCTGAAAAGATATAGTCATACTGACTGACTGACTGAGTTTAGTTTTACGCCGCTTTTAGCAATATTCCAATATCACGGCGGGGGACACCAGAAATTGGCTTCACACATTGTACCCATGTGGGGATTCGAAACCGGATCTTCGGCGTGACAAGCCAACGCTTTAGCCACTACCCCACCGCCCCAGATATAGTCATACGTTGGAGAGTTATTTTCATTTGGTTTATCAAGTTCAAATGGTGCATAAGTACAACCTTGAAACATCCAACTTTATGGATGACAACTTCTTGTTTATTGCTTAGAGAGACGTTACGATGTAGATTCGTACAT